TAAATCCCTTCCTCCACTCTTGAAATGATCAGGAACGAACTGAACTCCACATGACTCAGTCCTTCAGGGACCAACAGGTCTCAACTGTCAGAGAAAAAAGCAATGTTACCACAAAGAACCTACCCTAGGATGTTAAGGGTGAAGAATAAACAAACACATCTGTCATTAAAAACTCATTTCTGCAGAAAGCAAGTGTGTTAATAAGTCCCTGGACAGGCTACTCTGCCAGTCTGTTTTTATGGGCCACTACAGAACCATGCACAGGCAAAGAGCAAGGAAGGACTCACAGACAAAGAAAGCTGCAGGACCACAAAACCAAAATGGGATTCTTGGCAGATACTGGGTGTGAGCAAAGGAGCTTGAAGGACAAGGCCACCCTGCATGGGCTGATGTGACAACCAGCTCTGGCAGCTGAAGCAGCTCTCCATTTCCAATTCCCGGCAACATAGGAAAGATTTTTTTTTTTTTAATAGATTGGCTTCTGGATCCATGTCAAAGTGGGCCATAGTTACTGGAACAAATCCAAATCCATTCACTTAAGACATAGAGCTACAGAGGTGAACATAATCTATGTATTGAAGATTAAGTAAAACCATTTATACATGCTAAGCAAGAATTTCCTGTTAAACTACTCAAAAAATAAGGAGGCAGTAAATAAAAATTCAACACTAGGACAGTATGTCCTTTTGAAGATGATATTTAACAGCCTAGGATTCAAGGCAAGTGTGAAATGGTGATCCTGGGCTAAGAGCCAACAGACCCACTGTTTGGCTGAAATGCTCAAGCTTCCCAGTGGACTCCCGCTGGCCATACCCATAGGGGAGCTCACATGTGAGCAGACGCCAGACTTCCCAATGGTGGTGACACAGGTGGTCAAAAAATGGGCACATCAAGGGCAGGACCCACCAGAACCCCTTGTCAGAGGCGTAGTTGGTTGACCCACCACCTCCCCATTTCTCTCTTCCAGGACATTGTGACTCTAGGGAAGCTCTTGTGACCCTTCCAGCTCCAGAGGTAAATTCTGTTTGGTGGGAACCAATGAGATAGCCCCATCCCCACAGCCAGGGGCTGACTGTGACTCAGTTCTGATGAATGAAATACGAGGAAAGTGGTCTGGGGAGGCTTCTGAGAAAGGTTTCTGGTACTTGAACAAGCAAATGCTTCCAGGAAAAAGTGACACTTTACCGGCCCAAAGGTAAAGCCTATAAAGAAAGAAGGAAGTTGTCCTAAGACACATCAAAACTTGTGGTACAAAAGAGCAGCGCAGTGGGGATGAAGGATGAAATAATAAAATGGATCAAAATAGACAAGGGTCTTACATAGATCAGTGATGACGGTGCCACAAATCAAAAAATATCAAAACAAGCTTAACTCTCCTTGTTTAATTTAATGAAATAAAAAAGCTATTTTATTAGCTAGGCAGTTAGCCCAAAGCTCAGAGGCTATAGTGGGAAATCTCTGCTTTAGCGCTATGAATGAAATACCATGTTTAAAAATGGAAAAAAAGGGCAAGCTATTAGCATCTTTCTTGCTTTTTCATTCATTACTACTACTCTAATGACGAGTCAAAAGAATGTAACTTTAAAAAACTATGCAAGAGTGCATACATCTCTAACATACACAACACAATCCTTTACCAGAAGAAGCTGTACTTACATAGAGGACTTTGCTTTCTAAAACTCATCAAGGGACTTTTTCATATCACTTTTCTAGTGAATCCAATGGGTAAAACTACCCTAAAAATTTTTAGGAACTGAAGAAAATTTTACTCTAAGTCAGGGATCTGAATCCACTAGTAAACAACCACTCACTCCATGGCCATGTCTCCTTAATATTCATACTACAACAAAGATGACTACTTCCCTATTGTTTTTAATCTCTTTTCCTAGACTAGATGATTGAAACCAAAACATCATTATGCAAACTTTTAATACTAACCCAATAATAAAGAAACCATTTTCTGCTAACTTCCTCTTTGGCCAATCTTGCTCTATAAAAATGTAAAGCCCCTTAACACTAAGTGAAATTCTAAGGCCCTCTCTCCCATCACTACTTAAAAAAACTAATATTACCTCTGACAACATTATGGGTGTTTTTTTTTAAAGGGCAGCCAACCATATAAACCACAATTCTTTTCAACTTTGTATCAAAGACCCATTTGTCTCACATATCAATTTAACTTTTACCTCACTTGACAGGACTATACTATTTTAAACTTCATTAGCCTACCTAGAGGATGGAAAAACAGCCTCTGGTCATCACTGAGGGTCCTCCTCTGGGCCAAGGAAATGAATGAAACTCTGTTCACAAGATTGGGCAGATACAATCACAGGTCTGGATTTCCGCCCAGCCCAACTTATGATAGTATGGTTTAAAAAGAGCAGTTCATTATGTTTTTAGTCAAATGAGACAGAATCATCTTTTAAGAAATTGTGATACTATTCCTGGTTTTCTGGAGGCAGTTATTTTCTAAACAACAATCTGCCTAGTAAAATATACTAGACACTGTAGACAAAATTATCAAAACTTCTTATCCTACGTGGAGAGTCAACATAGTAAGTGGCTTTGGAAAGGAATGGCTAGCCGAGCACCAAGCCCATTTCCTCTTCCATGAAGCACACAGTTAGATGACATTTTCCAGCCTCGCCTGAGTTAGGTGTGGTCCTGTGACTGAGTTCTGGCCAGGACAACGTGAGCAGAAAGAAATAATGTGCTCTATATCTAGGCCTAGGAACACAAAAACTTCCCACAGGAGCCTCCATTGTTTTGCCCCCAGGAGACTTAAAGCAGGCAAGCCCACAAATGGAAGAAGGGAGCAACAAGGTAGAAGGAACTTGGATTCCTCAATCACTGTTTGGAGCAACGGTCGCCAAACTTTTGGACCTTACGGACCACCAGTGGTCCACAGACCACCAGTTGGTGACTGCTGGTTTGGAGGAAAACTGCCCACAAACCAGGGCTTCCAGTGAGTAAGAAATAAGCATCTATCATATTTGAGCCAGTATACATTTAGGAGGTTATTCTAGCAGCTGACATTATGTTGATTAAATAAATTCACTGGGCATCTCTAGATCAAGGTTAGGCTGACTTGAAATGTATGTTCTAAAATTAGTGACTCAGGCAATTATAGGACTTACCAGGAAGAATCTCTAAGTATATGCAGTCTAGGTAACACCATGTTTGGCTACAATAAAGCAATTTATTCCCGAATGCAGTAAAAATTCTCCTGAGCAACTGAGGTTGAAGAAAATACTTTTGAACCACTTGATCCTTAATTCCATAGTTAAATATTAGATGGTATAAAACCACCAGAAAGTTGTGAGGATCTTCCACACTTCTTTTGCCGAAGGTACCATAATTCATATTAAAACACATTAGAATACCATATGAAGCCCAACACTCAATTTACCATGAAACTATTGTTGAAGTCATTCACAAAGGACAGTAAGTTACAGTAGAGAGTTCAAGTTGGGGTTTTTTTAGATGTTTACTTTTTCTCAATAGAAATTCAACATCAAGAAACCTTTGCTTTCCCGTATGGAAGTCACATGTGTTCCCTTTTTGCCCTGTCAAGTCCCAAAGTGAATGCACCTCCACAGCAACATCCACTGTTATTGGCACACTTCCTCCTCCTTGCTTTGACTTCAGTTGGTACCTCCTTCATTGCAAGGTAATTTCAGAGATGAGGGATGAATAAAATTAATCAATCAAGGAAAGTAACACTTATTAAGTAGCTACTACATGTCAGGTACTTTCATGCAATTCCATTTCATATTTGCAACAATGAGGTATATCCCATTATTTCCCATTTTACAAATGAGGAAACAGGGAAGTTATTTAAAATAAAAAACTTGCTCAAGGCCACACACCCAGACAAGCAAGATTCATGTCGATGACACCTGACTCCAAAACGTATCTTTTCCATTTCAAAATGGTGCACTTAACCTATGACATATTGCCAGCCTTTAGGATATGAAAAGAAAATAGGATTACCACTCAATTTGACTTGCTTTACATATTCATTTCAGTGAGTCAATGGTTCTCAAAATGTTCACTCTTCCACTTATACCTTATTATCACATTTCCACAAAATGAAAGCCTGCACTATCCCTTTGACAAGAGAGTAAGTTGCAAATGACAACATAGAGAATTTAGAGGATAAAGCTAGGACAGGAGGAGGCCTAGTCTTCCATTATTGGGATGCATTGCTGCCTCCCTCTGAAGTATTCTTTCTACCTGTTAAGTTTTAGTTTCCACAAGAATGATTTCATAATTTTTTTCACCAGTTCTAAAGATATCCAAAACTCCATTTTGAAAGATACTACATTTCTAAGTTCAGTAAAACAAGTATATGTCAAAGAACCTGGAACACACGAATAGTCTTGAACTTTCTTAGTGGTATGAAATGATTTTTACCCTGCAACATCTAAAGTGGTTCCATGCAAGACTGAAAAGAACACTTAAAGAACTGGTGAAGATCAAGGACATTGTGCCGTGTTGTATTATAATTACAATTTTATTTAAGAATTTACTTACCTAGAATCCTTAAAAGTCAAATGTAGATAAACTGCTCACTAAGTAACATTATCAATTCTTTAAGACAGCGTTAAATCAAACCACATTTGATAACCAAAATATCAAAAGACTCATATTCTTAGGTTGGCATGAGTTATCATAAACCATGCTAAAATTAGGTGTTTAGCGGTCATCATTATAATAACTTAATAAGAAATGCATTTTGATGACAAAGTCCCCTTGGAAATACTGTTTTGTTGGAAAGGCAATTTCAATATCAAACATTTCTACCAAAAATATATTTCCATAGTGACATTTAAGATGATAAAACTATCAAAGCCCAGTTCTTTTGACTGCAAAGGTCAAAGCGTTTCTCCTTCCTCTGGAAACCCGCTGTGCTATTTATTGAAGTCCTTCACGCACACTGCTCCGTCTCAGGCAAGTGCTGCATCATGGAAAATCGCGTTTTTATTTTTAAGCCTTACCTTCAGATAGGATCCATAATATTTGGTTACGTATGGACTATCACACTGACTCAGCACTGTGATTTCCTGTTGAATGTCCTCTATCTCATCTTCAGCTTCTTCCAGATCAATGATTTTTATGGCAACCACTTTCTGAGTCCGATTGTCAATGCCTTTGAACACCTCACCAAAAGAGCCCTTTCCAATTTTCTCTAGCTTTGTAAAAAGCTCTTCTGGATCTGCTTTTAGGTTCTGTAGGAAAAAGAAAGGGAAACATCAGTGACTCAGCGCCAGGACTGCTTTCTCCTTGTGCTTATTTATAACACTCAGACCACAGTCTTTCAAGGACTGACCCATCTTCCTCATCTAAGGACCAGGCTGGTTGTGACCACAATTCTTCACATTTAGGACTTAAAGATCTGCAAGTCTCCCTCATGTGTGTGCATTAGACTAGAAACAAAGCAAGCGTGTAAACAAACAAATATGCAGATTAGAAAAGCTGGGAACGGCTCCAGCACTTGTATAAAGTAAAGAAAAATCAAAACACTTATTTGACTATATATGGATTTATTGAAAAAAATCACTCTTGCCTAAGCAAAAATTCCACCTTCTCCCTTCTCCCAAATTGTCTAAATTCAGGTTGCTATATACCAGTGGTTCCCAATGTGGGGCACAGGAGGAGGGGGGGGTGGATTTAATTTTTTTTTTAAGGGGGGCAATTCAAGAATGAGTTATTAACAGTAAATTTTTTGCATTTTTTGCTCTCCTCCCCAGGTTATCATACAGTTTCATGGTTTAGGACCGTGTTCCCCAAACCTGGCTGGTTGTGGGGCCTCATATACAGTATATAAATATATATTATGACATTTATGCATTTTAGTTCTCTATTATATGTTCTGAAACTTTATTTATTATTTTTTCATATCACTTCATATTATTATTTTTTTTAACAATTTCTTAGTGATTTCTTCCCTCAGTACTTCAACTGTCCTTTCATTCCTTTTCTCTTTCATGGATGCCATGTTCTTTGGAAGCTTGTTTAGACCAAGGTAATGGCCTTTTAGGCTTCCTCCATGTGAATAGGAGTTCACTTTTTGAATAATAAGAATGATATGTCACAGGGAGGGGCATCAGGATTTTAGAGATGCTTAGGTGGGGCATGGCCCAAAAAAGGTTGAGAACCACTGCTATATACTAAAATATAGGTTAAATAGCTATATTATGAATAGGAAAAAACATTTATACCCTTACTTCCTAATAGGCATGATTTTCAAGTCCAACAAATACTGTGTGTCACATACCTTCACTTTCAGCTACTGTCATGGCCTAACTAAATATTTTAACTAGATCTCAAGAAACAAAAAGCAACCTGTTTTCCTTTGTCATGTAAACATCATGCCCTTGATTACCTTCTAAAAGCTCTTACCCACCAACCTGGTTAACTGAAAACACACACACACAGTGCCCATTTCCAAGGAATACAGCTGAGGGATGCTGCACATCTCACCACGAGGAAATGCCCAGCCCCAAATGCCAACACACCCGTCCGCAGCCCCACAGAATGAGAGAGGACTCTGGGAGCCACCAGCCCTACAGACAGATACACCTTCCCTCAGAAACACTACATATGAACAAGAGGACGCCAGGCCAACCCTCAGAGCCTATTACTCCTTCAAGGAAACTGAAATACTGTGGGGAAAGGAGTAAGAGAAGGAAAGAAGAGTTGAAAGGAGAAAGAATAAGAGGCATAGAAAGAGGAGCGGTCCATAGATGGATAAACATATGGGGCTCACAGACACAGAATTACAGCAATTACCGGCAGCATTCTGAGTTACATGAGCTTTTGTGGGTTTAACGAGGCACTAACTTGCTTTCCAAGAGGAAACACAGGAGTCCCAGCAGCACTTCACAAGGGAACTGCTGAAACCCAGCCAGCCCATTTCTAGCGTGGAGGTCTTGGGGTGCCACAGTCATGGGTGGCCTCACTAACACCAAAGAGGCCCTATTTGAGACTGCACACTGAACAATGTAAAAGCTCACAAAACCCACCAATCCTATCAGTAAAAATGAACAAAATAAAGGAAAAATGCACCCGGGACTTGCCAGGGAAAAGGGACGCAGACATTTTCAGCAGTTACAAACTCTCCTGTTTTCATACGCTTTCTCTTACCTCCTTCCCCCCAGGATGAGAGAGGGTGGCTCTCCTTTTCTTCAGGGCCAATCCTAAAAGCTGGGCCTTTGAATCCATCCTTCTCTCCTCCAGGATGTGAGTTCATTAATAACTCTCTTGCACTTACTCTCTACTGCCTCTCTGCTAGGGCAGCATGCTCAGGTTTCTCATTCTCACACACACACACACACACACACACACACACACACACTCAAGAACACCGTCCCTGCTTCACTGGTTGCCCTCCGTCCGGTGCCCACCCTTCACTGGTCACCACTGCAGCCTGGCTCCAGCTCTGGCACCAATGATGCAGCGCTGTGCATCTGATCCTCCTCAAACTCCCTCCCCTAAGTAACTCGCCAGTCCCTTGGCATCTACAACCCTGCTCTCCACTTATCTTCTTCCAGGCCCCCTAGTTCCAAGAGTCTTCCTGCACAGACTACCTATATCAGCGCATAATCACAGCAGTCCCCCCAAGGTCCCAGACTTAGCCTCCTATTCTTCCTCTCCTCCCCAGGTTATCATACAGTTTCATGGTTTACCATAGGACTGTGTTCCTCAAACCTAGCTGGTCAGGCACACCTAGGACACTTGCAGATCCCAAACATTCACACACATGGGGGTGGGAAGTGCATAGTCCACATTTTTTAAAGACTCCCCCCCATTGATTCCGATAAATAGCCACCTCTGAGGAAACTGGTTTTGAATTATGGCATGCATGGGGACTTGCAAATTGCTAGCTCCAGACTTGCCTTTTGTGCCTTAACTCCTAGAATCAATTACTTGCTAGATATCGCTTTCTACCAGGACACGGCAAGCGCAATATGTATGGAGTGAATTCATTATTTCCCTGCTGAACTGGCCGACCTTCCACAGCACACTACACCTGTGCTAGACTATAAGCTGAGGGCGTTCCGGGACTGTGTCTTACCTTGGTACCAATGTGCATGGGCACAATAACTGATGGTCAACAAATGTCCCATGAGCAGTAAGAAACCCGTCTTACACTAACACAAACAGGATCCAGGGCAGGAACAACAAATACACTAATCCAGAGAGATAGAGAGCCTGGAAGGAGGGAACAGTAGGGTAAGGCGCCGGAATACTCAGGAGCGGTGATCCTCATCTCAGGAGCATCAGAATCAGCTGGAGGGATTGTTAGAGCACGGATTGCCTGGCCCCACCCCGGAGTTTCTGATTCTGTAAATTTGGTGTGGGGCTCAAGAACCAGAGTGTCCAGGTGATACAGCTGCTGGTGGCCTGGGTGCCACACTTTGAGAACCAAGGCTCTAGCCACACACCCAGGCCCACTGCAGACATGGAGAGAGATGCCCAGCTTCCTAGCTGTCCCTGCAGAGCCCAGGCCAGCAACTCAGCTGACCACAGGTACCTGAGTGAATCCAAGCAAGACATGCAGAAAAACCTCCAAACTGAGCAATCATGAGAAATACTAACTCATTAAGTTCTGGGGTGATTTATTACACAAAACTAATCATAACATAACAGATTCAACAGAGATCATTGCAGGAAGAACCTGTCCATTCCGGGGGCGGGGGGTGGGGGGGAGGTCGGGGGGGACTAATAGATGTTCTACACTCTGGAAGGTTTCATGCTTTTTTGTTGTTAATCCTCACCCAAGGATATTTTTTCCATTGAGAGAGAGTAGAAGGGGGCGGGGGGAGGGGGGGGCAGAGAGAGAGGAAGAGAAGGGGAGGGAGGGAGGGAGAGAGAGACATCAATGTGAGAGAGGCACATCAATTGGTTGCCTCCTAAATGAGCCACATCAGGGCCAGGGAGCAAACCCGAGACCCTTCAGTCTGGCTGATGCTCTAATCACTGAGCCGGCGGCCAGGGCTGGACAGGTTTCATGTAATAAACTGCCTGATTCTCCCCTTGCCTGGTCTCTGACAGTTCAGAAACAGCTGTTTTCACTGCTGCTTGACTCTTCCTCCAAGCCCTTTCCCAAGTCTGCACCTGTAAAGCGGCAGCTGCTGGTCTCGCATCTGCCCAAGGGGGTGTCACTCCGCACTCTGTCACTGTTAGCAACTGTGAACGGGGCGACTAAAAACTGTCCCTGGTAAGAACGGAGACATCTGCTAAGATGATGATAGCAGGACACTAAACAAGCAGGGGTCCTTGCCATTTGGCAATTCTTGCATAAACTCATTCCCATGCAGTGTAGCCCAATGGCCACAAGAAAATCAATGCCAATGATGGCCTATTTCAAACAGGACCTTCAAAATTCTGCTGCCAGATCTATTCTCTGAGGAAAGATTTCCTTGGTAGCAAAGGTGCCATTTTGCCAACCATCTTGAGAATTTTCTTTTCAGAAAGGTTTATGCTGAACTAAATACAGGTCATCATCCCCAATTAGAAAGGTCTACCAGCCCATCACCCCACCCCTCTAGGACCCTCCTCCCTCATGCCGCTGGGAGGGAGGGGGTTGAGTGCTGCCTGCACATGAACATCCCATTCACCAAACAGCTACTGTTGTTTTGGCTGTTGTCATTTTTTTTTTTTAATTTGACAATCTAAAGGAAAAGAGGTCAGATATTTCATGTTTTTAAAATTCTTGTGACATACCAGTTGAAAATTGCTGCTCTTCAGCTATTCGCTTTTGTTTTTCTATGAAAAGAAAAAGGAACTAAGTTTGATGTGTTCTAACACCTGCTACGTACACATCACGATCCCTGCAGCAACAGAAAAGAGAACACTGTAGTTCAGGAGGTCTAGATCAGGGAGGGAAGTTGTGGCAGGAGTACCCCCTCCCCTCTTCTGAACCTGGCAAGCATCCCTAATAAATCGCAGGACTCTCCTCCTACAGCTGAATTCAGACCTCACCCCACCACGTAGGCAGCCACCACCAAGTCAGCCCACCGGGCACAGAGGTGGAACCTATTTGCCAGCCTGATGTAGCCCTATTACCAACAGGTCTCATCATGGCTGTTCAGCGTTACCTTGTCCTTCCATAGCTGCCGACTCTCCCAGGCTTTCCATGTGTTCCACTGCTAATAGTTGTTATCTCCCACTTCAAAGCGGGAAATCCCTGTACCCCGATCCCTCGCTTATACCTACAAACTGT